CTTTACAAGTACATTGAATTCAAGCTCCTTATATACAATTCAATTAATTAGTAATTCTAATATTTCAAAATTGAAATTTCTGTTTAATATTGAAAAGTTATTTCAATATTGTAATAATATTTCAAAATTGTGCCAATATTTCAAAATTGTGCTAAAATTTCAAAATTTGAAATAATGGAAAGATGATTCTTCCTTAATAAAGTTAAATAAATTACAATGTTATATAAATAATTAATAAATAAAAATTAAAAATAAAATGTATTACAAAGGTAGATGTAATACAGATAAAATAATGAATAAGATTATAAAAAATAGAAATAAATAAAATATAATAATAATAAAAATTAAGAATTTTGGAATTAATTAAATTCGGCCAAAAGAACATCCAAATCGAATCCTGGTAACATCACTCCTCCTTCTAAATCAAGCTCCTGCAAAACAGGCAAAGTAAAATCTTTCAGCAATCCTATGATAGGTTGCTTCAATTCCAAAGTGTCTAGCCAACAAATCGGCATGTAGGTTGTGTAAAATGATTTCTACCTCATTTGATTTCACCACCCAAAGGGGTGGGTCTTTGAGGGTTCTTCCTATTCTTTTGTATAGGATACCTTCTCTGACAAGAAAATATCTTGATTGACTTCTTATTTTCTTTTGTTCTTCATCCATATATGATTCTGGAAAGATTAAATCTGGATAAATAATAAATAAAGATAGTATAATACTAATTTATAAAAGTGTAAAGTGTAAAAAATGTACAAAGTGTAAAAAGTGTAATGCACCCCAACCAGATCTGTGCATCACCGTCATGATCATCCACTAAGTCATCATGTCTGCAAGAAAGTTAAGTAATAATTAAATAAATAAGATAAATGATAAAAATAATATATGAGAAAAGAAAAAAAAATTATATTTTATATATGGGGCATACTGCAACAAAACCAAACAAAGTGAACATTGGTGTTACCAAAATTTCAGGGGTCAATATCATTTTTCAACATCACAATTGTATTACCAATGTAATGTGATCAATGATATTTATCTAGACAAAAATAGTTAATATGAAACTAATTTACATTAGGTCTACCATGGAACCCAAGAATTATAGTACTATCAGAAGTATTCTAAAAAAGGAACAAGGTGAAAAAATTGCACCTTACATATTCAAAATAAATGATACTCAAACACTGGAAGCTTATCTAAGAAAAGAAAGGATTACTTATGAAATTTATCAAGAGGAAAGAGTTTTCAAAAGAGTATTAGAGAATTCTAGTAAAGAATCAAGAAAAAAAAGAAAACTGGCAGAATAAAAAACTAAAACAAATAATTACTTTTTTTTCAACTTTGTTAATTTTTAATTACCTTTTATTTTCAATCAAGGTCATTTTTTAGTTTCTTTAACTTCAATTTGAGCAGTTAGTTGACCATTCTGTTGTTGTAATTGGGTTAATTGAGCTTTTAAATCATTGATTTCTTTTAATAATTCTTGCGGAGTTAATTCTTTTAGTTGTTTGTTTTCTTCTTCTAGTTGCTTAATTCGATCTAATAGTTCCTGTTTCTGTCTTTTATGCCAATCTTCAGCCACTTCTAAGGCTTCCAAGTGTGTATCTACTTCCTCTTCTAACTGTCTTTCCTTTTCTTGCAAGTCATTTATTTGCTGTTCATAAAAAAGTGCCATTCCTCCATTTTGATGAGGTAAAAGAGGAAGTTCTTTTTCATTTTCCTCTTCTTTGCAATCACAAGTATATCTAATCTTTAACCTTCCACAATCACACTTAGGCAATTCATCATTTTCAAACTTCTCTTTACAGTTTTCACAAGCCTTGTCACTTTCAACCATTTCACCAGTTGCTTTGCTTTGTGTTCTGATTTGACAAACTGCCTTTTTCAAACCAGGGCAGAAAACACAAGTAGAATTACTGCTGTGTCATTCTTCTAAATCTAAGATTGTGTAAAGCAGTTCTCTCATGACTACTTAACTAGAACTTCTATTTTAGCAGCAATTGCTTGACTGTGAAACTTCTCTCTTTTGATTAATTTCTGCAACTGCTGAACCTTGGCTTTTGTTTTTGTTTTTAATTGCTTGAAAATGCTTTGTTTATTTAAAGTCCTACTTTCTACTTCTTTAGGAAGAGAGGGTAAGGATTTTCTTTCCAAATATAGTTGTGTTTTTAATTCTTCTCTTTCTTTGCTTCATCCTCAAATCTCTGATCATTCTTTCTTAACATTTCCAATTTTTGGGCTAATTCTTCTTGCAACTTTGCATTCTTTTTTATTTCCTCTTCAAGCATTTTATCAGACTTTTGAAGCATTAGTGATTTTTCTTTGATTTCATCATTCAAAAGACCTTTTTGTCAATTTTTTCATGCTTCAGCTGTATTTATTGCTTCAGCTAAGTCTTTAGCACTTTGTTCTAATTTCTCAATGACTTCAAAGACAACTTTATTTAATTCCTTCTTTGTTCTGCCTGATAATTCTTTTAACTCTTCCAAGTCTCAGTAATGAATTTGGTCTTCTCAAGAAATAGTATTAATTTCTTCCTGTTCCTTATGTCAAACTGATAAAATTTCTGTAAGTTCTGTTTCCAAATTTTCAACTTGCTCCTTATACTTCTCTAACCCTTCAATTATCTTCTTGAATTCTTTTCTTTGATCATAAAGTTGATGACCTCTTCTGCTTGACTCTGCGACATGACTAGAACAACTTGTTGCTAAATCTTTCGAATAATCAATAAATCCCTCTAACATTTCTTCAATAGTAATATTGTCAAATCAAATTCTTTTACAATTCTTAGCTCATTCTCTAGTTTCATTAGGATCTACTGCCATTCTTAGCTTGCCTTCATCCATTCATTTTTTGTTTAGTCTTTTGTATCATCAATAACCAGGAGAATAACTGTCTTCACTAGGTTGACCTGTCACATGTCAAATTTTTAGTTTTAGTTCTTCCTCTTTATCAACTAATTGCTTTTTCAATGTTTCAATTTCGTTTAATAATTCTTTATTTGCTTGTTGTTGTTCATTTATAATGTTTATCATGATTTTTTGTTAATTATATCTTCAATTTTAAATAAATACTTAATATCTTTCTTTTTATAAAAGCACTATTAAGTATATAATCATTTTATATAATATAATAATGAAGTAATAGAGAAAGTTTATTTTTAAATTTTCTATTCATTGTCAGCATAAATTGGTTTTGGACAAGTAATATCTTTAAACTTATCTCTAACAAATGGATGAATATTCTGGTAAAGATATTCTTGTCTTTTATAGTCCAAAAGAGGAGGTGTTAACACTAAAATAGATAAAGCTCTAATTTCTTCAAAAATATCTGCTTTCTTGGTTTTCAATAAATTGAATTCAACAAAAGGTCCATTAGCAACTTCTTGAACTTTCACTGTACCAAGATTAGATGCTTCAAAAAGAAAATGTTGATATTTCTGGATACTTGGTAATTTCTTGAAATAAATTCCCAAAATAGCTTTAATATCTAAGTATTGAAAACCTTTTCCACCTTCATAACATTGAGCTTTATTTAATCCTGCTGGACTAGATCTTTTTACTACATCAACCACATGATCCAGACAATCTACTCTTGTTTTTCTGTAGAGTTTTTTTATTAAACCAAAACTACCATCACATTTGAATTTGGTATGTCCTGGAACCATGAAATTCAATTCAATGCTTTCATAGTAACCACAGATTACCAAATATAAATAAAACCAAATAGTTACATTATTTTTATTTTGTCCCCCAGCATTATCACAAGTAATCTTTAGATGTTTTTCACCCTTATTCAATTTCTTAATTCCATCAAAAATCATACTGAGTGTACCATTGGGACCTTTACCTATAATTTCATTTTCATTAAGAATATAATTAATTTGTTCTCTTACTGCTTCATCTTGAATACCAAATAAATGAACTTTACATGGACTAAGATAATAAATTTTACTTACTTGTTGATCTGAATGTGGTACATGAACATTTTGGGCTCAATCATAACTATAATGAGCAGTGGCATCAATGCTGCAATATTGTGTTTTACCTTGGGAATAATTTTGACTAACTAATTTTCTTTGTTCTTCTGCTAACTTGGTGTTTTTATTGTAATAATTTCTTTCTAATCTTGCCTTGGACAGATGTTCTTTAAATTTTTTGAGTAATTCTTTAGCTTCTTCCTCTTGGCGAGCATTGTAATGTAAACCATCTCTAAAATGTTGACAAGTATCACACAAATCAGTCCTTGGACTCATAATTTGAATCTCAGGTGTCAATTGATGTCATAATTTTCTGAATGCATCATATTTTAAGGATTTCAATTTGTTATCTTCTTCCAGACCTGCTAGAAAATCTCTATGTACAGATTTATAACTCATTTCAGCTGGTAAAAATACAATTGATTGAGTTATTCTATTGATACTTCTTCCTGGACTTGGTAATCCATGAACTTCTGCATAATTTTCTAGAAAATTCTTTACTACTTCTGCAACATTTTTATCAATCACCATTTTAGTTTTCCATTGAGGCATCCTTTTAATATTACCATGAACTCTTGCTAGAAGACCATTTTTTATCAGGTGATTTCTAATATTTTCAAAATAAGTCCTACCAATCCCTAACATATTAAGATAAGTTTCTTGACAAAGGAGTGTATTGTGATCCCAATGGTAGAAAGTTTTTTTATTGGATCTGTTTTTCTTTTTAAGACGCCTGCTGGTGCTTATTGATCCACCATCCATTGCTTTAATCTGGGCCATTAAAAATATGTCTTGTTCTGATTTAGAAAGAGCTTGAAAAGATTCCCTTAATTCAGCAAAATTTTCCTTGGGAATTCTTGAAGAACAACCACATTTACAACCTTTTTCCAAAAAATCAATTGCTTTTTGATATTCACTAGAGCCATTATATTTATTATCTTCATTAATATTTTTCATATACACTTATCCCTATATATATAATTTTATGTTCATTTTGAGTTATTTCTTGACTATTTTTCATGTTAACTTTGAACTGAATAAATAAAAACCAAAATACAATTAGTTAATATTTTCTCAGTTTTGAAGAAATAATATTTCAGGACAAAGTAATTTTGAGAGCACATGGTAAACGAATTAAAACAATATTAGATATCATAATTAATGTTTATTACAGAAAAAAATTTGATAATTTCTTTTTCCATTCCTAAATTTCAAATGTACATGTATTATCTTTCCTATCTGTCACCAATATATTGCAACTTAAGGTTTCATGCAAGTGTGCACTAGTGCATGCCAAGATTTTATATCCTTTTTGCAATTATAAGAGAACAATGATACCAGAATGAAAATATTTATTTAAAAAAAACCATTGATAAACAATTTATAATGAAAATAAACCTAAATTATTACAAACCAAAAAGTATATGTTTGTAATAAAAAACATAATGTCTCATTTATTCAATAAGTAGGTAGGTAAATATATTAAAGAAGTTCATTAGGATCAAAGCTTTTTTCTAGAAGATAAATATCATGTTCCTTTTTAAGATATGCACCAGCACACACCTCTGGATGCCAAGATATTTTGGTATTTATTGTTAGTGGATACCTATTGAATAATTAGAGTTAGTATTTGACCATTTTGGGAGATTATAGGTATAAAAAATAACTTTAGTTATTCGGAAACATTACTTTGTACTGTAGGTCTTTCCTGACCAATCAAAATCAATCAATTTCAGCACTTTATCTTCTGTCTCAGATAGAGAGACCATAATATTAGAGGGGTGCAAATCTCCATGTACAAAGTCACCATTATGGAGCAACTCAATAATATCCATAGCTTTTTTCTTTAACAGATGTTGGTCAGAGGGTTGACATTGTAGATAAGAGTAGAGATCTGTAAAGATATCTGGTGATAAATATTCCATAACAACCATTTTCCAATTTCCTTCAATGTTTTCAACTGCAATAAGCTCTGGTGCAATTTTTAGGTCATGGCAATATCTGTGGGCATCAGCACCATAATTATTAGGTATAAACTTAACAACATATTGTTTGGCCTTTTCATCTTGTATGAGAAAGAGAGATTTTTTTTCATAAAGTTCTTTTAAATAAATAAATTGGGTTTTATCTCCATTATTGTTACTGAAAGATTTAGGATAAGGAAAGCATGATTGGCGTGGAATGTCTATACTATCTGGTTTAACAGCTTCATAATGAATTTTCAGCTCATTCAATCCATTCTTCAATGCTTTGATAACAGAAATTATTGTTGATAAATGTTTTGGATGGTGTAACATTGGTAAAAGAGGGATCATATGTGTCAGAGGTTCAACTATAGTCTTTTTTCCAAATACAGCTCCAGAAATTCCAAGCCAAGATCCATGTAAATGCAAAAGAAAGCAAGGATTGCAGTAACTTTCATAATCATTTATAGTAGCCAGATACCTTCCATATGAACCAGCTACCTGAAAATATGCATCACCAGCAGTTCCAAGATTATTCTTTGCTTCAAGGATTAACAGAGCATACTGCTTTGTTTGTACATTACAAGTTACTGCACCATCTGCAGCACAATTATTCAGGTAATTCAGACATTTTCCGAACAGGCAAAACCTTTATCCATTTGTCATCATGGATAAAGGTTTTGCCTGTAGAGGGATATATTATAATTATCCTACCCATGAGTTTGTCGATCACATAGTGAGTTATCCGGACAAAATCCCGGAGATCAACATCAGAAATATCCACGCCACATACCCCGAAAGGCAGAAGCTTTACCCATTGTTATTCCATGGATAAAGGATTTGCCTTTTGGAAAATGTCCGAATTAGGTGCAATTATTAATTGCAAATTTCTTTACAGGATGTCCAAGAATTTTTCCTATTAGTTTCTGAAACACCAATAACCTGTGATCCTCAACTCGATAAGTCTTTGCCATCTCATGCAATAGATTCACAACATTTTCTATATCAATTGGCTTGGTGTAACAAATTACTCCGAAGTCATGTGTAACATCAGGGTGGTACATAAATATTTACATTAGAAACGTGACACATTTATTATTATTATTTGTATTTCGTGTCTTTAATTATATTTATTATTATTATCTATGTCCACAAATCTTCCGGATAGATTGATAAGAATCTTATGATTATTATTATTTATATTTTATTTATATTTTATCAATCTTATATTATTATTTATATTTTATCAATCTATGTAATTTTATATATAAAGGACATCATATTAAGATAATAAAGATTAACTTGTATTTTTACAATCATTAAAATACCGTTCGAGAAACTATTATCGTTAAGAAAAGTAAACATTACACTTGGCATCTTGTTCTTCCAAAGATTGATCCATGAACCTACCAAAAACAGGATGGTATAGAGCCACAGGAATGTTTGTATAATTTGGACAGAAATTGAAAATGTAATCTGGATTATATTCTTTGCAAAAATTTGATGGTGGAGGGATCCTTTTTATTTTGTCTGCTTCCTCTCTTGTCAAGTCCCATGTATTATCAACTTTACATTTTTTTTCATGTTGTGTTTCATGATGATCTAATGTGAAAGATTTGGTTAGTTATTGACATTTTTTATAATAAGGCTGTTCAAATTTAATTATTTGTTTAACATCCTTTTTTTTGAAAATTAGAGGGGGGGAGGGGAGTAAATTAAACAAACAAAATAAAATAAACACCAATGAAAAGCCTCCAATCACTAGAGTGATCGGCAGAAAAATTTATTTTTCCAAAAATGTTTTGTTGCACACAAAAGTCACGTGTTTTAAGGAAAACGTTTCTCCAAAATACTTTGTTACACACTAAAATCACGTGTTTTATAATTGTTTGTTTATTCTTGAAATTTTGAAAAATTAGGGGGGGGATGTTAAACAAATAATTAAATTTGAACGGCCTAACTAGAATATTTATCAGCCTTCAATGTATAATCCAACATTTACATTCAAGATCTTTACCTTCCAAATTTTTCAATTTCCTTTTGAGTTGTTCCACTTCCAACTCCAACTCCTTCTCTTTCCAACTCTAAAGAGGATGATTGTTTGTGCAGAGAATAATTATATATAAAATTTATTTTATGTTGAATTAGTGTTTACAATATTGAATACTAAAATAATATTTATTGAAATAAATACCCTATCATTTTCTTTATTTTCTTCACTAATAAAAAAAAAGTTTATAATTAACTAGAGTAATGACGATCGCAATAAACACCAATCTTTATCAGTCACCCGTGAGGTCACACAATCAATATAGTGACTGCAATAACTATGTAAAATTTATGTGTAACATTTCGATTTTTACTATTAAAATTCAACATAAAAAATTTCCTTCACAAGTGTAACTACTGTTTCTTTTTTAGTAAGAGTCACGATCTTTTGCGCAGACATTCTTTGAGACATTATTTATTTCCCTGCAAAATTTGAACCATTGCTTTATAAGAGAATGGAAAAGGATGGTCGTTTGAAAGTTTATGCTTCGGGTTTTAATGATCGACAATATTACTAAACAACACAATATAACATACAAATAATGCTGTTGGTTTAAGAATTAAAGCAGCGAAATTATTCTTATGGCGGGATTCTTTATTCATAATAATAAATAATATTTAATCATATTGCTGAACTAATCATGGAAGCTTCCTGACATGAAGGAGATTTGAAGATTTGAAAACTTTTTTTTTTCTTTATTTGTTCATTCATATCATTCATATCTATTTGGCTAATACATACATATTTATATTAGACTTGATGATAACAATATTAATGGTTATTATTAATTGATTTTAGATCGCTGGAGTATTAAATTTAAGAATAATTGGTAATAAGAAATATTGAGAAAAGATAAGTGGTAAAAAATAATTACATCTCTTTGTTCCTTTGGTTAAATTTTCTTTATTATTTATTTACATTATGCATGTAATTACTAAATTTTAACAACTGACTGACTACTAATAATAAATTCTTTGTTGTTTAATTCTTTATAGCAGCAAATTAGATTTAATATTTATATTTATATATTTTTTTTTCTATTGGTAATTCTTTCAATAAAGTTTAGAAACAAAAAATATTGAAGTGCATAAATAAGGTGTTATTCTTTAAACAATTATGAAAAAATTCTTTAACTGCCTCTGTTATTTAAACATTATAATTATTTATTAATAAAATATACATAATATCATAACTTATTTTTGATAATTTAATTATTGTCCCATTGATCATTTAATTTTATAATTATTATCTGTATTTTAATTCCATAACCTATATCATAAATTCCATAATTATAATCCATAACAATAAATCTGCTGTAAATTGTTTATTAAATCTAAGAACAAATGGATTTGGATCAAGAAAATTTAAATTTGATCGAAGAAGTAATTGAATTGATGGAAGAAGTAAATTATGATGATGTAGTAATAGAAGAAGAAGGATCGGAGAATGAATGTGAGGAGGATAATGAATGTGAGAAGGATAATGAATTTGAGGAGGATAATGATTATAGCATGTTCTTATTAGATGAATCAGCTCCAAAGGCTGCAAAAGCTATATTTGAATCTCCGAATCTTCAATACATTCAAAGTGAAAATGAGAATGAAGATGTAGAAAGTGATGACGAATCCCATATGCTAATTGATAGTGATAATGAAGAAGATTTAGTGATTCCAAATATTTTACCTATAAAATTATCACCATGTGTTATTATTGATAATTCAAAAGGAGAGATTTCTCGATGTTGTTCAACAGAAAAATTAGTATCAATAGCACAGCTTTTTGGAACATGGGAGGTGGATGCATCTATAGGGAAGAATTCTGATTTTAAATTATATGAATATGGTGTTTGTACAAGTCATTTCAATTTTGATAATAGCAAGATTCATAACCCTAATTCTAAAAAAAAACGAAAGTAAGATAAAAAAGAAAAAATGTCTTATGTGTGATAGATATAAATATTTTTTCAGTAGGGGTGATGATTGTGCAATACACTCTTGGAATCTTGTTGGAAGAAATATTCAAGTACCTTGTCTTGGCCTCAAATCCTGTCCTGTGTTTATTGATATTCCACATATTTCTTCTAAAGCCTTAAATAATGATCGTGTTCGATACATTTGTACAGAATGTTTTGAAGCTTATGGTGGACATTTACACAAACATCAAGGATCAGGAAAATCAAATTCATGTATTAATGATGACTTACATAGAAATGATGTGACCTTTTCTTTAAAATTATTTGCACAATGGATTACAAAAATTTCCAAATCTGAAAATGATGATAAAAAAAGAAAGTACTTTTGCATTTAATGCCACTATTGGAAACAACAAACTCTACCAATCAATTATTATCAAAAGCAGCAATTCCTAGTGTGTTCCTCGTAAACACTGCCATGAAATTACATGACTCCAATATTAATCTACCAATAGAAGAATTAAATGTTAATAATTGTGAAAATTTTGGAAAACAATTGGGTAATTCCATTTGGAATTCACACAAAGAACTTAAACAAAATCTTTCAATTTTAGAAAATCCAACTTCCCTAAATCAGTACTATAATTCATCCCCAAAACCTTGATTAATTTTTTTGATGGCATGATTGGTTCTATAATACAAAAAAAGCATCAAGTTGCTGAAAGAAAACGAAAGAGTCGTGGACATTTTCCAAAAGATTTTGATCCTTCTTCAATTCAGAAAATTACTGTTTTTATTGCTTCAATGATTCTTACAGTTGCATTTCCAACATGGAAAATATGGTTAACTCATACCATGGCATCACTTTGTCGAAGACCTAAAATGATTTCAATATTGCAATCAATACTCCACACAGTAAATGTTGTCTCATATTCATGGGATCATGAAGTAAAAAAACAAAAAGAAAGAATGAAAAATGTAGATCCTCGATCAAAATTGCTCAGAACCCCTGAAACTTGGAATGTTGCAGTTATAGACAACATTGATTTTAAGGATACAACCTTTCATTATGGAAACATATATGATGTAACCAGAAATTCTGCACATGCCACACTCAGGATGGTCTTTCAATTTCAACTTCCATTTCCAGTAGCTTCATTTTTACAAATCAATCATCCACAGACTCACAGTGATGCATTATTTGGAAAATCATCTTTAATTAGTAAATGGGAAAAAAATATTGACATGATATTTCAACAGCTTATTGAAAATTATGAAGGTGGTTTTGATGTTCAGGATATTAATTCAAAAATTGCATCCAAAATTGAAATAGGCTGTCAAGTTCCACCACCAAATGTTGTCATTCTTGATGCAGGACCTGCTCCTAAAAATAATGAAAATGTCTTTAGTTCAATAAATAAGTACTTTGATGATCTTGGACAACATATAATTGACATGGCTTGTGATGAAGCAATCTTTAGAAGAACCAAATCATACCATAATGATAACATGACTGGATGTTTTATTTTAGGTGGATGGCATACATCCAAAGCTATGTGTAGTGCCTTAATCACAGCATTTAGTGGTTATGGAATTTATAATATAGCAGCTGCACTTGGTGTTCGTTTTTTAGAAACATTGGAAAAAAATGTTGATTATAGAGCAACATCTTGTGTTTTAGAATTAATTTGGGCAGCTGTTGGAATATCTATTAATCAATATGTATTAAAAAGAAATATGACAGTAGATGATATTCTTGAAGGAAATAATTATGTATTAAGAATATGGTTTTTATACTACCGTTATTTTGGATTCTGGAAATGCCATCAACTAGGTATACATAGAGGAAATTTTGAAATGCAGATAGAGAACTTGGCTGCATTTGCTCCATTGTTCCCTATAACTGGAAAAAGCAATTATGCTCAATCAGTAGTATTTTTTCTTGAGTCAATTCACCGGAATCCTGAACAGAAAGAGTTACTTACCCATGTGAGCTCAGTTAATCTAACCAGAGAAGGACATTTTTTTTCATTTGATGAGGCATTAGAATTTTTTGGTGTAAAATTTATAAAGCAAAATATTACTGGTAAAACTACAGACCTCAAGAACTTGACACTGCAAATTAAGTCAGTTCAATCAGAACATGAACATATGATGCTGCTTTTCTCAGAATTTGTTGAATACAATACTGTAGTGAAAGGTAGTCATGCAGCTATGCAAAGAAAAGAAGTCCTATGGTCAATTGTAAATGAATTAGACAAGGCGTTTGATCTTCCAGATCCTAAAATGCATGATTTTTTTAAAAATGCTAAAGAAATAAATGAATCTGGTTTTATAAAAATGTTTGAAAGTTATGAAATAGGAATTGAACATTTAAATCGTATATTACATCAAGATATTTATAAAACAGAACCACAATCCAAAATTGGTAGGCGAAAAAAAAATCTACCTCATATTAAAGTAAGTGAGCAAAAGGAATATGAAAAAGAACAAAATCAAATTAACAATGATGATACAGAACAAATAAATGATGACTTACCAGCTGTAATAGAAGAGACAATATCTGCAGCAAGTAATGAAAGAGTACAAGAGGTAAGATCTCCACTTCCTAAAAGCCAAAAATATACAGAAGAAGAACAAATAATTCTTCAGGAGCTTCTTAATTACACAGATTTGCCAAAAGAAGTTTGTATGAGAATAAATGAAGAATTGGTTAAAGTAAATGGTTCATGGACTAACAAAAGAGTAAGAGACTACTGGTATTACCACGTTAAAAGAAAATCTAAAAATGCTAGAGAATCATAAATATTTAATTAATTTAAAATATTTAAATAAATTTAGTAAATAATAATGTATACCGTTTTTCGCTTTTAATTTCTTCCCCAAAAAATAAAATGCCTAATAAATATATATTTTTCAAAAGCTAATATTATACTCTACCTGTTAATGTTAAAAAGATCTCAATGAGTCTTCTCCCTGAAAAGGATGGTGGTTCCGAAGGCAAAAAGTATGTGCCTTTTCGAATAATTATTTCTCTTGAACGAAAAAAGCTAATGAAGTATAAAAGATTGTGTTTGAAAGAGCAAAACTATGAAAATATGTTTACATAGAAACATGAAGGATGTTTGATCATGCTTTTTCGTTCTTTTTTGGTTTTAAAGTCTGTTGTACAGAAAAGCGCTATGTTGATCGCTATAACAAAATCACTCATTGTGACATCACGGATGACTGTTAATAGAATTTCGACATTGATCACCAGAAAATTTCGGAAAATACACTTCCCAATCGTTTAATGTGACACATCATTTGACTAGTATGTTATGAGTGTAATAAAATGAAATTTAAAGTAAACTTTATTGCTAAAAAAGTCAAACCCCAGCAGGGATCAGGAAAAGTTATTAAGGGATCAGAAATAAATGATAATAATAGAATGCTTATACAAAAATTTGAAGTGGTGTTATTTAATGTGGGCAGTGCCACCTTTCTAAGTGGCACTTTTTCAATTTTACAATATAAATTGTCGATCTTTTTTGAAATATCTATTAATGTGCATAACACAGATTTGACCAATCATAGGATTTTTATCTATGCTTATTTTACTATATATGTTCAAGATGATTTGGCAGTAACACATTAGGATAATCTACAATTATCATTTCTAAATTTGGTATTGTGTAGCTGTAAAAAATCACTGCAAAATATTTTACTTCAACTTGACTTAAAATCTTTAATTGAAGAAATTATTGAATCCTATGGTCATAAAGTCATTTTTTTACCCAAGTTCCACTGTGAACTTAATTTTATTGAATTATTTGGGTGCAGCAAAATAATATACCTGTGAAAACTGTGATTATACCTTTAAGTCATTAGAAAAAACTGTTCCATTGGCATTAAATTCTGTTTCTCTCAAAAAAATTCGGAAGTTTGTTCACAGGTCTTGGAGATTTATGGATGCTTATAGAAATGGATTGACAGGTATAGAAGCTTTATATGCAGTAAAAGAGATACAAATCTCATAGAAAATTTCCCAACCAATGTTGTTGATGATTAAAATTGATAATAAATCACTTTTTTTGATAATTTTTCAAATTTTTGGTTGGGTTTTTGGTGAGATTTGGTGGTATGGTGCAGTAAATGGTGGTTATAGACTTTGCACACTATATAAATAAATACAACTTTATGAATGGATATTTTAGAAGTCAGTACATAGAACCAATTGTTACAGATGTGCTTCAGCACAGTTCTCCAAATCACATGTCACTGTACCACTAACATTGATCATCATCATCAATAAAAAAAAAATTTTTTTTTTTTTTGCCTTTTAGAAATTTTTTGCAAAAAAAAAAATAAAAAAATGTTTCGTGGAGCATTTAACAAGTTTAGAACTTCCTTACCGATAAATATTCAACATAAAAGTAATTTAAACAAAAATTTTCAACAACAATTTAGAAAAGCATCAACGACTTCAGCACCAATTGCTCTTACCAACATTGAAACAAATTGGAAAACTTTACCAGTGGAAGAACAAGTTAATCTTACAAAGCAACTTGAAGAACTTCAAAAACAAGATTGGAAGAAACTTTCCCTTGAAGAAAAGAAAGCTTGTAAGTAAATAAATAAATAAATTTATTTATTTATTTATAAATATAATATATGTTTATATGTTTTTTTCATTAATCAATTAATTTATTTTTAGCCTATTACATTGCATTTGGCTCTCATGGACCTAGAGAACCATTTCTGAAGGCAGGTCATGGCAGTAAAGTTACAATTGGGCTTGGCATTATCATCTTAATTTCTTCTGTTTCATATTATCTTTCTAGGGTAGCAGGTACACACACATACATAATATAAATATTATAATCATTTCAATAACAATCAATCAATTTAACATTCATTCCATTTTTTAAAAATTCTTTAAAGTGCATGATAAGCCATCAACAATTAATAAAGAATGGGAAGAAGCTACAACTGAGAAATTGATTAAACAAAAGGCTGATCCAATATCTGGTATTGCATCTGAAGGATACAAAGGAAAAGGTTTTGTTGTATCTTCCAATTAATAAAATAATAATAATAATAATAATAATAATAAATCATTTATTATTGTTCTTTTATTCTGAAAATTTGCTTTATTCATGTATATATAAAAGAAAGAAATTATTCTTTTACTTAATAATCATAATTAATAATAATAGTAACAAGGTTTAAACACTTAAATATTTATTGATATAATTTTTCATTACCATTCATCAACTCATTCATTCGTTTAATAATTTTAAGTTTATTGCATAACCTTTTATAATTGTGCCGGTAAATAGACACAATTTGCATTAGAGAGACACACATTATGTATGAATTGAATAAAGGTTTTTTTTTGGACAAATCGATTTTAAACACATGCTAAGAATAAAAGATAAAATCGTGAAAATAATTTTTTTCCTCTTTCAAAAATTTTTTTTTGATAACAACTAAGGTATCTTTAACATTAACGATTTTAATAGTATTATCATTGGTAATAATCTTCAATACGGTATATGATTCAATATCAGCCTCAATAGGTTCCCCATTACTTGGACGTGTAATAACATGGGAGTATGGTTTTGTTGTACCAATGTCAAAGGATAGTTTCATGAAGGCTAATTTATTTGACAAAGATTCAAATAAACTTAATGTACGTGTGTATGCATATATAGAACTTTTTTTTTCAAAGGATAATTGCTTGAATTATGTATTTATATATAATATTAACAAATAAATTATTATTATTTATAGACCTGAAATCATTGTATGCGCAACTATTTATTTATGGTTTCAAAAGATAAAGGTAAATCTCAGAAGGATTCTCTCATCCTCATCACAAGGCAATATTTATTTATACACATAATATTTATAATTCTAGGTAGAAATTAAATTTTGTCGTTACTGAAAATATATTAGAATTTTATCAGCAATGTTATTATTACAATCAATGATTCTTTTGATTTTGCAGATAATGTATTTTAGATGGAGATATAAATTGTTATTACCAGCAATAACATCTATACGTTATTATGCTAATTTTGGAGAAATTCATATTATAATTGCAATATTAATATTATTTAATACAGTCAAACCTCAATAAGCCGATCCACTATGATGAAATTCGGTTCATAATTAATTACCTTAAAAGTAAATATCTACACACACGAATAGCAATAATACTAATACTAATTAAATAATTATAATTGTAAATCATCATCATAAAACGAATTTTGTTTGATAAGCCGATCCTATTTTTGCGATTCGACTTATCAAGGTTTGACTGTAATGATAATGATAATAGTAACAAAAATAATATTGTTTAAAATATTCTAAAGAAATTCTTTTATGATGCCAATTCAATTAATAAATATATTAGCAGGTAGAAATGGAGTGAAAGTAGATATTTGCTATATCAGTGATTTATTATTTATAAGGGAATTTAAACCAATTGGAATTTCTATTGAAGATTTTATTTATATATTATATTGAAAAATATATTTTTTAGGTATCCATCAAAAAGTTTTTGTTGGAGTTATTTTGTAAGAATTATATTTTGAAGCAGTAGGAGGAAATATTTTAGTAAAACATTATTTACACCACAAATATTATATTTCTTGCCACAATTATTTAAAAGGTTAGTGTCCAAGGAGGCACCCATCGTATGCCAAAGTAAAATCATCGTATAAAAATTATTATTAACAAATTTATTTATCAATATTGTTATCCATTAACAAAACAATTAAAACCCATTATCATTTTATACATCTTTAACAATAAAATTATTTCATTTGAAAACAATTAATCAACTAACAGATAACATCACCACTATTTTATTATTAAACGGTGTAGATAATGATTATATAGAAATCAATAATTTAACATTGATTAATCTATTATTAATAAAATTTGGGCCAATGGATTTAACAATTTTAATTGTCTAAAACAAATATTATTTGATTTTTATTAAATACAAGTTAACATCTATTACTTGTTTATTTCATTTAAATTATTAAAATTATTAAAGTATCTAAAAGAAAAAAACATGTAATATATATATAAATTTATATAAAAAATGTCATTATCGTAAAAGTTTTAATTAAAAAAGAAAATTCTAAAGTTTTTAAATTATATTTATATATTTACAATAACGTTAATAAATAATATATTCATATAAATATATTATATATAAATTATTATCTGAAGAAAATCTCTAAATTCTTGCGCTTAATCTAAATCCATTTCATCATTAAAATGGATTATAAGTGGAGCTGTTATAGGTAATGATGACGTTGTATTAGATTGTGATGTTGTTTGTGAAGTTGTAGATTGATGATTTTGTTGTGTGGGGTGTAATAAATTCTCTTGTAATGTTGAACGTGCACGACATATTGGACACCTAAAGTCTAATGAATTCGATTCTAATGAATATCCTGATATTAGTAATGTGTTTCTTAGACATGAAGCATGAAATCTATGATGGCATTGTGGTAAAGTTATTATTGTTGAAGATAAACTTCCGACTGCCCCACCATCACTATTACTATTATCATCATTATTGTTTATATTAGTTACTTCACATATTCCGAGATTTGTTAGAGCACAACCTAGATTTGAATGATTTAAAGATGAAGTTGATGATAATGTAGGCAATCCCTCATTCATGTTAGATAAAGGAACGTTTGTTGACTCGGATGATTCATTACTGTCATGGTTATTGGTGGCAATGTCATTGATGTTATTAGATTCTTGTTGTTGCTGCTGTTCTTCAGAAGGTAGTTCATATCTACATAAAGGACAAGTATTATCTTGTCTTAACCATTCAAATAAACATGATTCACAAAATATATGTTTACATGGCATTTGCCGAGCAATCTTGATTTGATTTGATTTTGACTTTGTATTTTCATCATCAACAATCATCTTGTTAACGTCATCATCAATTGACATATGAAAATGTTCCAAACATATTGAGCAAGTTGCTAGTGAATCAACATGTTCCTTGGTAATTTTAACAATAGGCAATTTTTTCATTATACTCTCGGGCACGTTTGGTCTTTTTGGAGGTTCTGACGGTGTCATGATAATTGGTGCAAAGAAAACGAATTGTGATGGATTTTCACCATTCATTGCCGGGAATGGCATTATAAAAAAATGAAATTCTTGACCATTGCCATTATTATTTGTATCGTTGTGATTGTCATTACTATTATTGTTATTATTCGTTTGTTCACTTGCTATTCGATCTCCTGAATTTTGTTGCAGGTTATTATGGCCATTATTATCGTTGTTGTTATTGTTATTGTTAATTATAAATGAAAATGAAATATTGGGTAATCTCGTTCGCTGTTCTTCTTGTGATAGATTATCTGCAGTGCTATTGTTGTTATTATTAGCGTTTCTGCTATTATTAATGTTATTAGGGTAGTTGTTAATATTATTATCAATCATGTTGTGTTAAAAAAAAAATTTTTTTTTTTTTGATTTTATTTTTACTATTTGTAAATTAAAATAAAAAATTACTTGAAAGGGTTTATATAGAAATTTTTATAGATTGTTGGAAAGTGCGAGAAATTACGGGAAATTAATAATGCATGTATCACCTGAGTGATGATGATATCATATCACGAGTCTGTATCAATTTATTGCCTGATATTAATAATAATAATATTGTGGGGTGGGATGACAAAATTTTTAATATTAATATATATATATATCCCTTTGCATTATATCATCAATGAACACGTGGTATGATGCAGGTTACAAAAAAATGTAGATCATTCCGAAATTTCAGATACTATTACTATGGTGCAGATCATCTATAATCATTAATTGCTTATAGTAACAATTGGTCAACTTCAAAACTTATTGGCTGGTTTTTTCTTAAACTGAAAATTGGCAGAGCCTTAGCATTTTGAAAATTCCGAATTTTGTTATACATTTAAGAAATTGAGACTAAGTAAATTTCGTGTAACAAGTTTTTTTTTCATAGAATATCAGGTTATAGTTAAATAATTAAAAGGAAATCTAACACATACCGTACAGATAAAAAATTCAGAAACTATTTATAATCTAAAAGAAAAACTACAAAAAATTACTTCCTTTACTCCTTTAAATCAAAGATTAATATTAAAAGGCAAAGCTTTAATTGATACTAAAACTTTGTTTGAATATGGTATTACAAATGATACTGTAGTTCATTTGGTTCATAAACCTGGATCTACTACTGGCGGTGAAAGTAATCTTGTTTCTGCTGATTCTTCATCTTCTCCAAAAGCATCATCATCATCATCACCACCAGTATCAAAAAATGATTCTCAACCTTCTAATTCAGGTATTAATAAAATTAAAGATTCACAATTCTGGATTTCTTTACAAAAATTATTAGTTGAACAATTTCCAGAAACAAGTGATGCTGATAATGTTTTAAAAGAGTTTTTTAATTGTTATAATAATAACAAGGATTTAAACATTAATATTAATTTAGAAGATTTAATTAACAAAAATTCTTAATGAATGTAAATAAATATATAAATGAACGTATTAATAATTAATATATTTTAAAATTTTTTTTATATGTTAAAAGATATATATATTATCAATATTATTATTATTATTATTATTATATTATAATAATTTTTATATTTAAGTTTTTGATAGAATAGACAAAGAGGAAGCAATCCCACTACCATCTAAACCATCAACCTAAAATAGTAAAAGGAAAATTTTTTTTAAAAAAAACCAATTCTGAGTAATATTAAAGCTAAAGCTGTACAAAAACCGATAAACCAAAAAATGAATTTTCGATTTATATCTTACAATTTCATTATTTTTATTGAAAGAAAAAAAAATACATTTTTATTTTTTACTAAAATATTATATTTAAGAATCACGATGATAAACCTTTACTAATAAAGGATTTTTCATTGGTAAGGTTATGGAAGAAATATATGGTGGAGGTGATTCTTGACCAGGTATTAGTTCAAACCTATATTTTTTTAACATTGATGTAACCAATGTTAATGCTTCAACAGTAGCAAATTGTTGTCTTAAACTATATAAATATAATATGAATATGTAAATGATTTTAATGCAAGTTATAAAAATTTGATGCAAGTTATAAAGTTTAATTTTGAAAACTTACCAGATTCTTGGACCAGCATGAAATGCAGGAAATTTAAATTGAGATGGTTTCAATACACCTTCGGAAGTTAAGAATCTATCAGGATAAAATTGTAATGCATTTTCACCCCAAATTTTTTTATCTCTACCCATACACCAAGGTGACTAAGCAACATTTTCTCCAGGATATACATGTGTACCGTCAGGTAAAATATCATGTTCCACACACACCTAACAAATAGATAAACAATTTAAACATGATTATTATGTAAAATATTTCTTTTTTAAAAAAAAATTCATTCCATATTTATAAGATAATTTACCTTGGAATTTTTTGGAACAGCTGGATATAATCGAAGTGTTTCATACAATGTCGCTTCAGCATAATGAAAATTTTTGATACTATCAAATGTTGGAATTTGATTTTCTTCTGATGACAAAAGTTGATTTCACTTCTCTAACTAAAGTATCTTCTACAGATGGATTTGTCATTAGACTATACATCATCCAAGTAAGTGCCTGAAAATGAAAATGAAAATATATATATATGTTATATATGCAAGTTTATTGATTCTTCCATTGTAAAAAATTTACCAACATTTGCAGTTGTATCACATCCTATTATGTAAAGAAAATATTTCAATAATAAAATATGATAACATAATAATATCATGATAAGAAATTCACAACAAACCAGCAATAATCATATTAATAACCATGTCCCTCAATTCTTTATCTGTTAACATTTCGCCATTATCTTTTCTTGCATCCATAAATAATTTTAACACATCACCTGAAACATTTGATGATGATGCACTGTCATTGGCTTTTTTTGATTTTCTTTCTTTTATAATATTATATGCAAATTCATCCAGGTATTTAATTTCTTTTCTAATTCTTCTACCGGTTTCTGAGAAAATTTCGGTAAATGTCTAGAATGGATTTTCTCTACGTTGAGACATAGCTAGTTGCACATAATCAAATGTTATGGCAAAATGTAAGGGTTTACTTAATTGTTCAAGACATTTCATGTCGATTCCAAAGGATATTCTAAAAAATTTGTATTTGTTGGGAAAAAATTTTGTTTAATTGGATAATTATCATACTTTTAACAATTCAAATTAGACAATGAAAAAATGATCACTAACTTTCCAAATGTATTCAAAGTAAATATGTAAATCGATTGTGTCATCTTTGTTTGCTGCATCATTCAAAATATTTAAAGCTGTCTTTGTCTCTTGTTCAAATACTTTACAAAAAATTTCACGAAAATTTTTAGTAGTGAACAATTGATTGGTAATTTTTTGATGAAATTTCCACATTTCGCTTTGTTTTTACATAATTATTAAATTATTGTTATAGTTATTTAATAATTTATTTTGTAATTTTACTTTATAAAGTTACCCACCCGTTTGAACCAAAATTTCCATCACCAAAAAATTCTCGCACCATTTTAATCCAATTTCGCCTTTCACATAATTTTCAAAGTTTTCTATCAAAAAAAAAGGGGATATATTATCAATTAAATTAAATTGATTCTTTCAATAAAAATAATTTTCTGATCGTCTTATAAGAAGTAGATTTCCGATAATTGGTAGACCACTTGGTCCTTTTAAATCTGCTCTATCAGTAGAACCAATTGCACAGTTTGGATATTTAATTAATAGATGAATAATATATCTACTTATTATAGTGAAAACTGTAAGAATAATAGTTAAAATCTTTTTTTTTTTTTAAGAAACAAGAGAATAAAAAGATGATAAATCTTATTTTGGTTATCTAAAAATAAATCATATGAAAATGTTAATAATAATCTGTTTGTTTACTTTGCCAAGTTTCTGGGATACCCAATTTATTTTAACTCCAGAAAAGCATCAACCGTTTTTTTTGTTGGCATAGTTCTCAAAGGACGTCTATCACACTTCTACTAAGACCCGGTTCTATCTGAAAACTATGATTCTATTTGAAAATCCGACAACCTTATCATCTGAAAATGCACCTTTATCCGGATGGGTAAACGTATATACAGAAAGGTTCTTTTTATGAAACATACAGAACCTGTGCAACAAATAAGGTTTAATTTTTAGAGTTGGTAATTCCTAAGCATAATAGAAATTCGATTATATCAGAAATGTGATGATCATTTGTGATATATGCAAATTTATATTGTGCTACAA